TGTTCCGGAAACTGCAGCACTTAAGACTTGCCACTTCTCCTGGCCCGGATATGGTTCATCCTGCCATACTGAGGGAGGCAGCCTCAATCCTGGCAACGCCGCTTAGCGTGATGTTTTCACACTCGCTTAGCCGAGGCAAATTACCGGAAAACTGGAAGTTGGCTCACATCACACCAATTTTCAAAGGTGGTCGACGCAATGAACCTTCAAGTTATCGGCCGGTGGCTCTTCTATCATTACCTTCAAAACTCATGGAGTCCCTGATATGCGACGGTTTAAATGACTATCTACTGTCCTTAAATTTCTTCTCACCCCAACAGCATGGTTTCAGGAAGGGTTACTCTTGTATAACCAACCTGCTGACTGCGGTGGACAAATGGACAAGCATCCTCGATCGCAAGGGAAAGGTTGATGTCATTTACCTTGATTTCTCAAAAGCTTTTGATAAGGTTAACCACTTGTGTCTTATCAACAAGCTCAAACGACTAGGTATCAAACCACCTCTAATCGACTGGCTTACTTCATACCTAAAAAATCGCAACTTTAAGGTTAGGGTTAATTTCACTTTATCTCAAGCTATGGAATGTCCTAGTGGGGTCCCCCAGGGCTCAGTACTAGGGCCTCTTCTCTTCTTGATCTACATAAATGATCTTCCTCAACAGGTAACGTCAGACTTATTACTTTTGGCCGACGACGCGAAACTTTGGAGAGAGATACGCAACCAAGACGATATACAGGCACTTCAGGAGGATCTGACTCGACTTCAAAGTTGGGCAGACGATAACGGACTTAGCTTTAACACTTCAAAGTGTAAAGTAGTCCATCTGCGACATGTCGCAAACTACAGTTACAACTTAGGAAACTCCTCTCTAGTAGTATCCCAAGTCGAAAAAGATATAGGAGTTCTGGTGCCCCATGACTTAAAGTCTTACGCTAACTGTGAAAAAAATGCCTTCCGAGCAAACCTTGCACTGGTAACGTTGAAGCGCATTTTTGGACAGTTTGACGGAAGAACTTTCCATATAATCTTCAACAGTTTTATCCGTCCCCATTTAGAGTACGGAAACATAGTACTCCCCCCTCACTCCAAAAGGACAAGGTCACTTTGGAGCGTATCCAACGGCGAGCCACGAAATCAGTTCGAGGACTCAAATCTAAGCCTTACGAAGAACGCCTCCGTTCACTAGACCTTTACCCACTAGAATATAGGCGTCTTAGAGGTGATTTACTAATGGCTTATAGTATTCTTAACACTTCTGGACATCCTCTTAAACACCTACTTAAGCTTAGTTCGAATAATAACCTAAGGGGTAACACCCAGAAACTGGAAACACAACATAGCAAGACGGAATGTAGACACAACTTCTACTCCTTAAGAGTTGTCAAAAGCTGGAATTCGCTGCCGGCCGAGCTAGTCCAAGCGACTTCTCAGGAGTCCTTCAAGAGGCAACTTGACCTATTCTTAAGGACCAAGGACAGCATCACATTATGATTTACCAATTTCTTTTCCTCTTTTACTGTTAACATACCTAGGTTCCTGCCTGGACGATTTGGTGATCCCCTGCTACTAGACACGGAAGCCTGTTAAGCGAAAGCTTCTTCTATTCCGTCCACAACCATTTGAACCATTTTGCTATGTCCTCTGAGGTGTCTCGATCTAGTGGGAAGAAAGAGAGAGAATAGGTTAGGTCCGAAATCATTTCTCAGTATTCTGTACATCAATATTAGATCTCCCCTTAGTCTGCGATAGGACAGAGTAAAGAGGTTCAGTTCTTCAAGCCGCTCTTTATATGATAAACCCCGGAGTTTCGGAATTGCACGCGTAGCTGCCCTCTGTACCTTTTCTAGTATGTCTGAGTCCCCTTTTAAACAGGGGCTTTCAGCCTGAACACAGTTCTCTAACTTAGTTCTCACTAAGGATATGTATAATGTGGTGAACATGGTAGTATCAAGCTTAGTGAATGTCCTTTCTAAAGCCCACTATGATTTAATAATTTCTTTTCCTATTTTATCGCTAACATACCTAGGTTCCTGTCTGAAGGATTCGATGATCCCCTGCCACTAGACACAGAAGCCTGTTAAGCGAAAGCTTCTTCTATTCCGTCCACAAATTTTTGAATCCCGGGCGGACAGGTTAAACAACACGGGTAGCGCACCAATCGGATTTCGTGGTGACTTACACATTTCCAGCCATGAACCTATTTAAACTTGGCAGGACCGTTTCTTATTGTTCGTTTTATAATGTCCTTTCAAAACCATATACGCAAATGGCAACAAATTTGGGAGCAGATAAGGATTTAGTCCCTCCTTCATTTAGTGCTGATAATAAGGAGTATCCAAAACACATACATGAGATTGTAAACCGTATCAGTTCCCTAACATTATTAGAAGTCGCAGACTTGTCAGAACTGTTACAAAAAAAGTTAAACATCAAGGTGAGTTTGCAGTAACAAATAACGAAGTAACATAATCCCTTCACAGTGATCTGAAGTTCTTGTATGAAGCATACTGCTCCGGCCATTTTTGCTTTTTAAAGACCTACTTGCCAGTATTTCTGATCTTAAGACTCAGCTATTTAAGGAATCATCTATGTCTTTGGTGTAAGCTCAAAGCTCGTCACCACATTGTTGATAGGGTGACGTGTTTGTCTATTACTATTCGTTTTATTATCGTTCGGTAGTTATTTTCTAACCATTTAGTTAAAGTCACGGTAGTATTTTGTTTGTCATTCGTTATACCGAAAATTGAACGCACTAACTCTGTTTCGTCTCTTCTATACACACACTCCCTTCAAAGATATGTTAGTTTTTCATAGTTTATACTAGTTTACCCTTATAAAGTTTTCCATACGTTTTCCGTAAATAGTTCTTATTGTATCTAAGACAAGTAACGGTAAGAATAACATTGTGTCGTGTACATATACCAGACACTCGTTTGGTGCTTTAACCGCTGTATATATGTCCCAGAGTGTATGTTGCAGATGACTAGATGGTTTCAATGGTGTCCGAAATACAGCATAACTTTTTCTCGGAAGCTCAGGAAGTAATAAGGGAGAGTGTTAACGGATGCTAAGTAATATATGATAATTTACGGTAGGCTCATCCAGTTCAAGCCAAAGTGTGAGTAGTAGTTTCTCCATCGTCCTGAGGAAAGGTAAATTTATTATCACGGTTTTAAACTTTGAATCTCTATCATCAGATACGTTCTCGGGTATTGGGATTATTTTCATTATCCCCATCGTAAGTACAAAATTAGTAAAAGACGATTCCTTGAAGATGCTCGTAAATGGGTGAGAGAATATAAACACATTTTAAAAGGTTTAGGGTTTCGCTAGGTCCTAAACATTGCGAAGGGTTAATTGAAATCTTAGAACATGAGTTTCAATGAAACTTGCTACTTTCCCTCAAAATTGGAGAAACAGGACAAAACATCAGATGTTTGACGCGTAAAAGATTTATTCAAACCATAAACAGTAGGCTAAATGCCATCATTAATGCAATCGTTACCTGTAAGTTCCTCAAATAGTTCCCACATATTTGAAGGGTTTTTACAGGTCTCAGAGCATAATCACATTCAGATTTCTGGTTTCTTGGCTTAGGCTTTTCAGTCTTCAAACTTTTCCTTGTTCAGCCATTCCTCACTCAAGGGTTTTCTACTGATCTAAACAATTTAGCTGAGAATTGGACATAATAGGTTATCACAAACTCCCAATTCTGTTGTGTACCCTAACCTCCATCCAAGGATTCGCGTTGTAACATTAGTATACTCCACGTAGTGTTTCACTGCTTAGCACTTTTGTGTACTCCTATTGAGCTGTGCTCGTATCACTTTATTTACTTTTTCCTATCAAAGTCACTTCGATCATATCCGATTTTTTCTTAATGAAGCACTCATACTGAAAACAATTATGCTCAAAATATTTCATCCCTTTTAGTGCTGTGCCCTGATTTAGGTGGTTTAATTGCAGAGTATTCAATGTCGTCTTTGCAACACCATTTCATCCCTTTTTCTTTTATGCCTATGCAGAATATCGGGCCCATGATGCCTATGATGGTTCAAGCGCCAACAAACCAACCTCCCGAAGAGCCTGAAGAACAACAAGCGCCTACGAAAACAGCATTTTCAGTCAAGCTAGTGAAATTTGATGCAGCAAAAAAAATTCAACTTATTAAAGAGATCAAACAAGTTATTCCAGAAATGAATCTTGTACAAGCTAAAAAGTTCGTAGAAGTAAGTCCAAGTTAGCAACACAGTTGTTTAATTTTCGACACCTTATGGTGCTTATCAGTCCGTCTGCCTGCTTCTTTACGTCAGTACAACGGTAAGAAGTGAGTGTAAAGTGTACATAAAATTAAGGACAGTAGAAAAAAGCTGTATATAAAAGCAAAACGGACAAGAGAAATCGGGGGAAGAGCAGCTTGGAATATTGTTTAGGGCCTGCATATAGTTATAGTGAACGTATGTATAGCCAACTTTGAATCATATCATCTACAGTCCCCGATACATGGGTGATAGCTAGTGAGTCGCGCAGGGATGATGTAACTAGGCATGCGTAGCACATGCCTCAACTACCTTGTCAGTCGACTAGGCACTTTTATTTAGTTACTTTATTCTGTAGAAAAGCGCACATTCATATTGTGTCAAGCATTGCTATTGATCAAAAAACTAGTAACAGTTGGATGCACTAAACAACCACTCAAGATTTAAAAGTACCCACCCACCTACTTTTTTAAATATTAATGCCGTAAATTCGCTTTTCTAAATACACTCAATAACGTGTTATATTTACACACTGCTAGCTTAAAAAAATTAATAATCTTAATTATGTCTTTTAGAGTGCACCTGCCAATATAAAGACTGACGTGAGCAAGGACGAAGCTGAGCAAATAAAGAAAGTATTGGAAGAGGTTGGAGCGTCTATTGCAATTGAATGAACAATATCATACACAGACAAAAAATAGATACTGTCCAAATTAAAAATTAATACTGCATTGTTGTTATCAAATATTAGATACTCCTCTCAAAGCCAGGTACCCATTAACGATATGCTGAGGCAAATAACGTATTCTTTTAAACTCGGAACAAGTTGCATAATTTAGTTTTGTCAATGGATCTGTATAAGTGGTTGGTATCCCACTTAAATCAGAAACTTTCATAGGTGGACAAATGCATGGTGGTGCATTTAGATGATTGTAAAGAACAGCATCTGGCGAATAGCTAACCTGCAGTTGAAAACAAATGAATATTAGTCTAGAAAGTAATAGATTTAATAGCGTGTGAGTTTATTTATTAGAAAGTGGGTTTCGGCGATTGTATGGATGAACGGTAATCTACATACCGCCCAAAACAGAATCACTATGAATTCATGACCTAATAATGAGTAGTTGAATACCCAAACCACCGGTGGATCGTCTTACGTAGCAATGTTTTAACAAGCTTTCGTTCCAGATTGTATTAACCGATAGAGTATATGTTCTCCGCAACAACAGAAATGAATAATCGGGAGGAAAATTTTCAATGGGAGTTACCGCAACAAACAATAAATCGGGGTCGATGCAGATAGTATGTTCAATCGAGTTTACATTGGTCGGGTAGGCACGCGTGTTATAAGCCAATAGTCTCACTTAGCAAATGCGAAGCATCACGGCACTCTTAAAGCTGTCACAGGAAACTGGATTTTGCCAGTGTTTGCTTCACATCACGATGTCGGTCAGAAATTAACTGCAGTAGAACCAGGGGTTGACAGACACTTGCTGATAATTTCATAATAGTTGCTTAGTCTGAAAGTTATTTTACTTACACAGGAGCAAACAGGTACAAAAACTAGCCCTCAAAACATGAGTGCACACGGATTTGGTATACTAGAACGTACTTATTTATTTATTTAATTACACTGATTTATTGAATCGTCATATAGCGCAGTAGAGAGAAATTCTCTCGTGCCCGTAATTTCATAGTTAATCAACAGGAACATCCTAAAATTAGCGTCGTTTATGTGTCAATAAATTCTCATATTTTATGTTACGCTAACTCAACAATACAAACGAGAATTTGCGACGTTACTTTCAAGATTAGATAGATTAACTATGTTACTAGATACTTCATAACATAGACTTCTCCAGCTTGGTTTTGATGCTTTTTGCGCAACGAATAGAAGCTTAGTTCCACTACATGGTGGTTTTCAGATGAAAGTGAACTGGATGGATTTATGTATAAATTGATGCAACTGTTGAGTGTTACATATGACCAACAGATAATCGAAAGTCCTGTGTGGATTTAATAACTAATTTGCAACGATATTCCGAAGGACAACCCACCATGTGAGCACTTGACTCGGTTGATTTATCAATCTAATCTAGTTACAAACTCATGAATCTAGATAAATTAGCTAGACTACTTATACAATGTTCGCGTGTGCGGAGATGTTACGCGACAAGAATTTCACCTGCTTGGAATGCATTTCTTGATAATTAAAAAGCAATACGTGGCTACAATACAATCAAATAATTAATAAATTTGACTTTTACAATAATACCTGCAGACAGCAGAAGTACCTAGTTTCAGTGCTATCCTTGGCCAGAAATCCAGGTAATTTCGACAGGAAACAATTCTTGATTCCGACATCAGATATATTAGTGTTTGAGCGAAAGAATAGTCCAGTGCAACGACAATAAGCTTATCAGCTCTATGGTGCATAATAAAGTAGATTTTATGTACTGATCATACTACTTTGTGTGAGAAAAACAATCCAGTACTACGAAGAGTTGATATAGTTACAAATTATTAAAACTGACAAACATTCATCCTTTATTGGTAAGCGTTTGGTTGAGATAGGTAAAAGAATTAGCTTAGATTTAACCTCTCTAATTTTATGCCAAAGTGATGTGGGGTGGTGCTTGGGTTTGTTGGAAAGTCAAACTAAGAAAAATTTAATCGTGTTTAAGAGTAGTTGATACTTGCGCTAAACATACCCTGGTAATATAGGCTTCAATGTAGCATCTAGAGTGGCGTGCCGTGCATTTCTTTTTGTTCCGTCTGCTAGTCTGACCTTTCATTTGACGTTTAAAAGTTAGTGTGTGATCACTTAATATTTCATGATGCTAAGTCGATCGAATGGTTTTGTTATTTTAAATCCATATATCTCCCATGAGAAGTAGAGATTATTTAGTGCTGGGTATTTTTATATACGATTGGAAACGCAAATAACTAACTAGAATTTGAAGTGCTAAATATAAATCTTACTTGAGATTCCGCGTTTAAGACCTGTTTGATACCTTTGAAATTTGTTTTCTTTCGCTCGAACTGTCTGCAACTATATTGTTCTGGGACTGCCATTTTGATAAAGTGAAATATCGAAAATAAGTTGGCGGTGTATCTGGAATAAGAAGAGATATCCACCTATTAAATTTTGGATGGGAGTTTTAAAACGAAATAAATAGGGATTCTTATTAATTCGCAGCCAAGTTAAGCACCCAAGACGGCCAACAGTGTTCACACCAAAAACCCAAGTTTAGCGCTGATACATCCGACAATTTTAATAACCTAATGAGTTTATTGTAAATAAGGTCAAACATATCTTATTACTGTCAAACGTATAGATGCCTGGCGCCCCAAAACAAGGTTAGCATTGTGGAGTATTAATAGCAGAAACAAAAAGTGCAATACGACGAAGATGCTTACTGGTAAACTAGTCCAGACCAGTGTTGTTGAATGTAAGTAGTGGGTCAACACCTTTTGGTTAAATGCAGTTAAAACATCTTATCCTGGAGAACCAAAAAGATTCTATATTGATAGATTCGCCACCTTGAAGTTTGATTGTTGAACCCAGAAGATAACTCAGTCTAAGGCAATACTGTTTTTTCTTCAATTTTATAGATTTGGCTACGTATTACCTCAACTCTTACCCAAAACAGCTGCTGGGAATGACTTAACCATATGACGTTCCCAACTTTCCATAGAACCCTCGACAGAGCAGAATTACTACAGACATGGAGTATCCGTTAAAACCATTTACTTATTTAAACATGAATTATTCGGTTTATGTGAGGGCTGGGATACTGCCCTGGTGCCCAAACCGAAGCAGGTGGTTTTCTTAGGAGACTACACTCCGGGCTTCTGACCTACAGGTCTAATGCACAAGGAAGCGCAGCAACGTGAGGAGATGAAGTCCCATGGTAGATAGTTCAGTCAGTCAGCTACAACGTAGGACCAGGCACATATATGCATCGGTCCAGGTTGCCATACCGTATCAGCACAACAAGATGAGCACCGGATTCACAGCAGTGATTAGGTCAAAGGGGGTAATATATAAGAGAAAGATTGCATATAGAGATATAGTACAAGAAGAAAGAATTGGTTCGTAGAAAGAAAGATATGAAGTGATTTTAATCTCTTAGTTTAAGGGAAGACAGGGAGTGTATACACCGACGCCATTGTGATCGATTCTGAGCCATGTCACCAAGAGTCTCCAACCATTGGTTACGAAAGTCACGCGGACCCCAACCAAGTAGTCTGCATCTACCAACATGGCTCAGACTAGAAGTTAGTGTCTTCAAGCACTGATGCCACGTTTTGGTTTGGCCGCCCCTAACTTTCTTCCAATCATCTCCAATACCGGATAGCATTGCACGTCGTGGTAGTCGATGTTCAGGCATACGTAACACGTGGCCCAACCGTCTTAGTCGATGAAGATTCATAACCTCATCAACTGATTTACCATCATTCCCTAATACCCTGCGTCTAACACCTCACTATTACTTACCCTGTGATCCCAGCAGACGCCAGCAATATTTCTAAGGCATCTGTGGTCAAATACTAGTAGCTTACGAATATCTTCTACTCTTAATGGCCATGTTTCGCTGCCGTAAAGTAAAACAGAACGGACTGCCGCGCAGTATACTCGTCCTTTTATTGATAGACGGATATCTCGCCTTCGCCACAGGTGACGTAAGTTGGCAAAAGCCAAACGAGCTTTTCGAATCCGTGCTGAGATTTCGTCAGACACCAACCCATTTGGGCTGATCAGACTTCCAAGATAAGTGAAGTTGCCAACGCGTTCGACTACTTCACTCCCTATCCTTAGTTCAGGTGTTGACGCAGACCAGTCCTGAAGCAACAACTTGCATTTCGAGGGAGAGAAGCGCATTCCAAATATTCTGGCATTGTTGCTTAGTGCTACTAAAAGACTCTGCATTTTGTCAGCGTCTTCACCAAACAGGACTATGTCATCTGCGTATTCTAAGTCGATAAGTGGACCTCCTGGAAGGAGATCAATACCCGAGAATTCAGTCGACGAGAGTGTTATTTCCATCAATAGGTCTATGATGAAGTTAAACAGAAATGGGGAAAGTGGACAGCCTTGACGGACACCACTTGAGATTACAAAAGTAGATGACAGTTCGCCATAAGCTCTGACTCGACTAGTAGTGTTCGAGTAAGGAGCCTTCACAAGGTTTATGTACTTCTGTGGTACGCCTTTCAATGACAGACACTGCCACAGAATCTCGCGGTCTACCGAGTCAAATGCTGCTTTTAAGTCGAGAAAGACCATTGTCGGACGCCGACAAGTATGCCTGTGTTCTAGAATCTGACGAATGGTGAATATGTGGTCGATGTAGCCACGACCAGGTCTGAAGCCAGCTTGGTTCTCTCGTGTTTTCAGTTCACGAGTCTTAGTTAGGCGTCTGATAATTATCGAGGCTAGTATTTTAGATATTATATTAGTTAAACTAATCCCTCTGTGGTTGTCACAGGATGATTTTGACTCTTTCTTGTATATCGGGACGATAAGTGATTGTGACCAGTTAGATGGGATAACGTCTAACTCCCAGATCCTAGCTAAAATATTAGTCAACCTAATCGCTAAAATTGGACCACCATCCTTAGAGACCTCTGGAGCCAGTTCATCTGGACCAGCTGCCCTTTCTCGTTTCAGATTAACTATAGCCTTTTCAACTTCAGCAAGAGTTGGGGGACCTACTTCAATGTTCCATTCACTGTCTGGGAATGGAGGGTAGTTGTAGAGTAGCTGAAGGCCAGTTGAACTGTTCTCTGAAATGTTCCGCGCATCGTTCTAAACGTCTGGACTGACAGCAGATGAGGGTGTCGTCTTTTTCCGAAATAGTCTGACTTACACTTGACTTATTAATTCCAGTTTCTTTTATTAGTCTGTAAAGCTGTCTTGTGTTCCCTATAGTCGCCGCCTTTTCCATCTCTTTTGCTTTCATTGCCCACCACTGCTCACGGTCGTTTCTTAGACTTTTTCTTAACCTAGATCTGATTTGTTGTCGCTCTTCATCATGTTCGGAACCTGATGGGACGAGTTTGCGAGAATCCATCAGTGTGATAGACTTTGAAGAAATCCACTGGTTCTTTGTAACCCTGTGGTTTAAATCACTGCTGTTTCCACAGCTGTTTGTATGGCTTTCCAAGCAACAACTGGGTCAACCTCGTCTTCAGAACTACCTAATCGTGACCTCAGTTGTTCCTGAAACCTACTTTTGGTTTCCTCGCTACTCAGATCGGTTCTAATGGGTCTTTTTACTGTGGCCTTTTGCGTCCAGTGAGGCGCAAGCAGATGCGTGCCCGTATTAGGGCGTGGTCGGAGTCCATGCAGGCACTCCAGAATGAGCGACAATCTTCTACCGACCCTCTCCAACGATGACTGATGGCAATATGGTCTATTTGAGTCCATAGTTGGTTTGGTGTAGGGGGTCGCCATGTTAGACGATATCTTTCCTTATGCGTAAAATTTGTGTTTGCTAAAAATAAGCGATTGTCTGAGCACAGTTGCAGCAGACGGTCACCATTATCTGTTCGCTGTGCCGGAATGCTAAAATATCCACCTAAATGCCTTTCTGTTTGGTTTAAGCTACCTGTCTGAGCATTAAAGTCGCCCCCTATGAGTACTGTCTGAGCGTTTAGCTTTCTGAAGAAGTTCAGAAAGCTTTCTGTAAAATTCATCTTTCACATCATCTGAGCTGCAGTCAGTGGGAGCGTAGGCAGAAACGACGAAAAGGCAACGACGTGTATCCCTACCCTTCCGAGTTCTTACGGAGCCGTTTAACCGAACAGCACATAGACGACTGTTGACGGGGATCCACTCTAGCAGTGCTTGTTCCGCCCTCATGCTTAGTGCTATGCCTACACCTGCCAGTCCACGAGAACTGGCCATCGGGTCACCAGATACACGGAGGGTGTATCTCGTTGGTTCTTCGTTTTGCCGAGGTGAGGTCAAGTGAATAACCACACTGGAATCCTGTATGCGTGTTTCGGAGACACAACATACATCAATGGAAAGAGACTCTAGGGTTTTAGCCAAGGAAGCCTGCTGACTGATTTGGCATAGGGTGCGTACGTTGAAGGCTCCAATGTGTAGTTTAGAGCGAGGTTTCAGTAGACCTGGGACAGGGTTTTGAGCACTAGAATCGTTGGCTATGGTGACACTTGAGGAAGAAGCCGAAAGAGGAAGTTTAGAGTGGAAAGTCGATGTAGGAGGAATAATAGGAATTGAAGAGGAAGGTTGATTATGAATACAGTGGTCTCGAGTGCTGTTAGAGGTATGAGGGCGGTTATCACTTCCCGGTTGCCCACACCGAGGAAGGGTTCTTATGGAGGTACCTGAAAAGGAAATTGGATTAGAGGTGGTCTCAGTGACCTGAGAGCGTGACCGCAGTGCCCAAGGGACAACTGCTTGAGGCCAGTTGCGCACGGCCTTTTCGTGGGAGGTTTTTGACGTGTTAGCTCCGTTCTTCAAAGGGCCTTACCGCCGGAGACGGAAATCCGTGAGGTGTGCATTTTTAGGGTCGACTTTTTCTAACCCCACCCCTCCTTGTGGGAAGGCAGCATCGCTGTCATGCTGGATGTCTGAAGGAAACGCCTTACTGCTGTCACACTTCTGTACAGTCAGCAGTACGACTTCGCCTTCGGACCTTGGGTTTGTTGCTTTTAGTCTTACCGCTCTTCAACCGACCTGTCTGACATGGTAGGACCTTGAAGAACGGTTGTTCCAGCCAGTATAGCTCGGTTGCTTCATCACGATAGGCAAGCCCGACCA